TTTTTTTTTTTTAAAGAAGTCTCTTCTGTTCACCAAGACTGCATTTATTTGATCCAAATTACAGCAAAAACAGTACAATTTTGAAATATTTTTACTATTTAAATTAACTTTCTATTTGAATATAACTTCAAATGTAATTTATTCCTGTGATTTCAAAGCAACATTTATCTGAAATAGAAATCTTTTGTAACATTATAAGTGTCTTTATCATCACTTTTGATAAATTTAAAGGAACCTTGCTAAATAAAAGTATTAATTTATATAATCCCCCCCTCAAAAAAAACTGAATCCAAGCTTTTGAATGGTATAGGGTATAATATTACAAAAGCTTTTTATTTCAGATGAATGCTGATCTTTCTATTCATCAAAGAATGCTGAAAAAATTTACTCAAGTGTTTTAAATATTGATAATAATAATATGTTTCTCGAGCAGTAAATCAGCATATTATACTGATTTCTGAAGATCATGTGACACTGAAGACTGGAGGAATGATGCTGAAAATACAGCTGCGCATCACAGAAATACATTACAGTTTAACAGATACTCACAGAGAAAACAGCTATTTTAAATAGTAAAAATATTTCACAATATTACTGTTTTTGCTGTATTTTGGATCAAATAAATGCAGGCTTGATGAACAGAAGAGACTTCTTTAAAAAACATTAAAAATCACTCTGAGCCCACACTTTTGACCGTGTGTGTGTGTGTGTGTGTGTGTGTGTGTGTGTGTGTGTGTGTGTGTGTGTGTGTAAAGAGTTTAGGTGCAAAATTATTGAAATGCAGTTATTTTATTTTTATAATTTTTTTTTACCTATTGTCATTATTGATTTTTATCGATTAAAATATGACTAAATAAGATGAAATTAACAAGATGTAGAGGTATAGATAATATATTTGCTATTTTTTATTTTATTTATTATATTAATTTTTATTGTAGTTTGTTTGTTGAACACAAAGACATTTCGAAGAAACCATGATTACTAAGCTCCAAAGGGACAAAAAAGCACCAGAAAAATATTTCTAAATATAGTATATTCTACATTTCACTCATAAAGTGTGATGCTGATAATATTTTTTTGTTACACAATTTCTAACAAATATGTAACAAAGTAAGCATTTAATTATTTTATTTAATATATCACTGAATGTATTTTTCTCTAGTGCTCTCAGACTTTTGAACCCCGCTGTATTTTTACCGAAATTATGATAAATGTCTTAAATGGTGAGAAATTATCTTATTTATATGTTATAATATTTGCATAGAACTGTGTATTATTTGACTTATTTGTGGCACATTGCAGTAATTCTCTATATTTTGGATGTTTTTGTTTGACAGGGTTTTCCAGAGTCTTGTGAGGATGAAATCGTAAGCGTTCCTGATGCCAAATACACAAAGGGCGAGTTTGAGGTGATGCACTTCTGCATTATGACCTTTCTTTTTAATCTAACCTACTTGTTTTAAAAAAATTTGTATGTATTGTTGGATGACAAATACGGAAAATATGTTTCATTTATAAACAAGATATACACAATATACACTACAAGTCAAAAGTTTTTTTAACAGTAAGATTTTTTAATGTTTTTGAAAGAAGTCTCTTCTGTTCACCAAGCCTGCATTTATTTGATCCAAAATACAGCAAAAGCGGTAATATTGTGAAATATCGTTACTATTTAAAATAACGGCTTTCTATGTGAATATCTGTTAAACTGTAATGTATTCCTGTGATGCGCAGCTGTATTTTCAGCATCATTCCTCCAGTCTTCAGTGTCACATGATCTTCAGAAATCAGTATAATATGCTGATTTACTGCTCGAGAAACATATTATTATTATCAATATTTAAAACACTTGAGTAAATTTTTTCAGCATTCTTTGATGAATAGAAAGATCAGCATTCATCTGAAATAAAAAGCTTTTGTAATATTATACCCTATACCATTCAAAAGCTTGGATTCAGTTTTTTTTGAGGGGGGGATTATATAAATTAATACTTTTATTTAGCAAGGTTCCTTTAAATTTATCAAAAGTGATGATAAAGACACTTATAATGTTACAAAAGATTTCTATTTCAGATAAATGTTGCTTTGAAATCACAGGAATAAATTACATTTGAAGTTATATTCAAATAGAAAGTTAATTTAAATAGTAAAAATATTTCAAAATTGTACTGTTTTTGCTGTAATTTGGATCAAATAAATGCAGTCTTGGTGAACAGAAGAGACTTCTTTAAAAAAAAAAAACATTAAAAATATTATGGTTCAAAAACTTTTGACTGGTAATGTATATGTATTTAAAATATAATATATTTAATACACCAATTTGATTTTTTATCCAAAGCGACTTACAGTGCATTCAGGCTATACATTTTTTGCCAGTATGTGTGGCAAACACACACAGTGAGAGAGAGACAAACACACACACACACACAGAGAGAGAGAGAGACAAACACACACACACAGAGA